GGGACGACCAGGCCTAGTTGGCACCGGGATGGGACGACCAGGCCTAGTTGGCACCGGGATGGGACGACCAGGCCTAGTTGGCACCGGGATGGGACGACCAGGCCTAGTTGGCACCGGGATGGGACGACCAGGCCTAGTTGGCACCGGGATGGGACGACCAGGCCTAGTTGGCACCGGGATGGGACAACCGGGCCTAGTTGGCACCGGGATGGGACGACCAGGCCTAGTTGGCACCGGGATGGGACGACCAGGCCTAGTTGGCACCGGGATGGGATAACCAGGCCTAGTTGGCACCGGGATGGGACAATCACGCTTAGTTGGCACCGGGATAGAACGACCAGGCCTAGTTGGCACTGGGATAGTATAATCAGGTCTAGTTGGCACTGGGATAGCATGAGGAATTGCAGTCAGTAATTATAACAAGGATTACCCCCTCCTTCTCGCCCCTCACATAGTTTAGTGTCTGAAATGATTTGCGAACATCAATCTGACTACTTGGTTCAGTGTGTGGTTTGAACTTTGAACTCATTTGATTTCACTATTATTTTAGACAAAGGAGAGTGCTACACATTTGGATCAAATCAATTCGGACAATTAGGACATGGTGTGGTTGGACAGAATCGACAAATGGGCAAAGTGTTATTTCCCGAAGGTACGAAAATACTGGACGTTGCATGTGGTGATACATACACTGTCGCCATAGGTTCAGGTCAGTACACCATTGCTGAAATGTTATGGCACTTTTTCATTGAGATTTTATTTTTTCTTTGCTTAGAGTTCATGTTTATACTTGAGTGCAACCCTGTGTTTATGTTAATTTATGCAAATTGTTTGATATGCTGAAATCCAATGAGCATTGTTTATTGAGAGTTGCATTTTTTCATTGCTAGACAGTTCAGTTTTACTTGAGTGTACTGTGTCTTTGTTTTGCAGAAGGGGAAGTGTTTTCCTGGGGCAAGGCAGCCAGGGGTAGACTTGGAAGGTCTGAAGAAACTAACCATCTTCCAATCCAAGTTGATTTTGGTGATGATGAACCTTTTATTGTTACCTCGGTATCCTGTAGTCATGTCAACACACTCCTAGCAACAAAGCGTAAGTAATGTTTGATATGAATCATATGTACATATACAACTGTAACAACTCATTGTATACAAGAAATGTTAACACCTGCTGTGAGACGTTCGTGGTGCACTTTTAGTGTTTTAGTATTCTTTTCTTGGCATAATGAACCAAAGAGCATGTGTTAGAGGCATACCTTTGCAGAATTTGATTTGCCAGTACTTAATCTAACACCTTGGCTTCTCTATTGACATTGGCTTTTTATTCTATTGATTTAGCTCTTGAGCTAACTGATAATGGACAATCAAAACATGCACAGAATGGTCAAAATTCATACACATTTCATAGGGATTTGTAAGCAGGAATTTTCTCACGAGTACATTCTAAGATTTATCCCATGCTCAACTAAGTGTTTTATCTTTACAATGTAAAAGTCAGACAGTTACGGTAGATTCATTTGTCATGAATTGAAAAAAATATAAAGAGATTAGTAATTTAGAATATTAATATGTGACAATTTCATTCACTATGTTCATTTGATCGCAACAAATGATCCTAACTTTTTTTTTGTTTCAGCATTGTCCTCTCCAGATTGTGATTGAAGAACACCTTGGATTATAAAAGGAAAATGAAATGAAAACAATTCCAGTGTATCAATATTTACATGCCATTGGTTGAAAGAAATTATGAGAATAAAATTGTGCAAAAGTAGCTTACCTGCTAAAAGCCTCAATGGATAAAAGTGACATTAGCTAATGATGTGTTGCTGCAAAATGTTGGGACTGATGAAATTTTAAGTTTGAAATTATATTTTTATTTGTTATATTGTATTACAAGGCATTATTTATTATGTGTTTTTTATGACAGAAAATCAATGTTTTTATAAATCAATTATATTTTTAAAATTCAGCATCTTACTATAAAGAACAGTTTTAACAATTGACTCCTGCATATTTAATGAGAATTTTCAACTTTCCAAAAGTTGTTTTACGTGATTACAAAATTTTATTATGGAACATCTCAGCACTTCAAACCTTTTAGTGATTTGTGGTAAACCTCAAGGTAGTTTATTGCTTGAAAAAGGCCATTGCTAAATTATTTTTTATCGCCACGGCAATTATTAGTATAGCTGTTGCTTTTCTAGTTTCTGTTCAACCTTCATTTTAATTAATCATGTCTCATAATAATAGCCACATTTTCTGTATTCCCAATAGGAAAAAGTGTATGAATATTAAATTATATACACATGTAATCTTTGTTGTATAGTGTATTTCTTTTATTCAAAACTAATAGTTCCAAGCCTCCTCAATTAGTTCAAACTGTTTATTAATCAATAATGATGAGATTGCAATCAATTAAAGCGCGGTGGTTGAATTTCAAGTAAATAAACAATATATTTTATACGCGTTGTTCACGTCACTATGAGTCCCATATCGAACAGGACGCGGCCGCCCTTTAACATACAAGTTGTTGAGCCAAGTAGTTGGCTATTAGAAGGGAGTAAGAACTACTTTGAGAATATTTTTTGTGACAGATGTTTCTGTAAATTTGTATTTGCTCTTGTATCAAGTGAGTGTTAGATTTTTTTTATTAATTTCTATGCAATTTTTTTTTTCTATTTTAAATCCACCACTTAATAAAATCAGATGAACAAAATATTGATGTCAACAGCCCATACGCAAAAAAACTAGTTAATTGCTTTACTGTTTTTGTACAATTTGTATTAAAAAAATTAGTAAATAGTTATGCACAACTGTTGAGTCAATCTTTTCATTCAGTATTGCACACGACTTCACAAAGTCCCTTGACTTCACACAAGCATGCAAGTTCCAAATGCAAGATGAAACAAGAGTTGTGATTGGGTGACAATCAGCACCTTTGAGGCTTCAACGAATCACTTTAAGAGTAGGGTGTTTGTATGTCATCTGAATGGAGATTGTTGTATGGCGGTCATTCATATTTATGTTACCACATTCTATAGCGCCCTCTATCATATGTAACTGGATATTAATTTTTACTACATGTAATTACCTGTGTCATGGTTACAAGTAACCTTGCTTGTGTACAGGGGGAAAAAAAAGAAAATATACGACAGGTGCATTAAATGCACTTTCAATTTTTTTTTTTGGATAGTCTTGAAATTAAAAATTGTATAAATTATTCAGTTTTCATGATGAAAAGCTTATCGGCAACCCCTCTCAAACTTTGGACAGAACATTAATCGCTGTAAATTTGCGAAAGGGGTTTCCATTGTCATTTTGACAGTCTAAAAAGGGGCTAGCAAATCAACATTGTGACAGTAACCCCCCCCCCCCCAATCAGCAAAAGGGGTTGCATGTGAATCTTGTCACCAAAGGTCACGCCACTAATGCAATTTTGCAGTCTTTTATATTGAGGTATCACGCACACACTGCAATGGTTCACACTTTTAAAAAATGCTGCATAGTTGAACACCAGTTATATCTTTCAGTTTCTGAATTAAAAAAAATTAAATAAAAAAAAAAACACCTTTAGCGAAAATGAGCACACAGCAAGTCAAAGCAATTGTACTAATGGAGCACTCAGAGAGACTCCTAATTACCGTACTTATCAATTTTAATAAAAAATAAGATGTGCTCAAACTGAAATCCATAAAGAGAATAAATCATGAACCAGTGACGCCATGTTAATAATGTAGTTGGACATAATATTTGTAACTGCATTGAACTGAGATTTTATTTATGTGCACATCACAAAATAGTGGAATATGGAATAAAAAAAACCAGTAAAAACAACTGCCTCTAAAGAATACTGTAATAAAGACACGCACAGCAACTCATTGTCAGTATGGTTTAATAAAACTTAAATTCACACTGAAATTAGATCAGAAAGGCAGTTGAATGTTCCATAAGCACCACATGAAAATACGGTCATACATGTTTTCACACTCAATTATTTGATTTGCATAGCATGAAGTGTCATCTCAACTATTGCAGGAGACGTGGATCAAACATGACTGCTTCATTCATACAATGTATTAGAATATCTAAAAGTTGATAACATGGATTCTCAGCTTAGTTTTGTTTCATAATGAAATATTTGCTGCCAATTATTACCCCCCCCCCTCCCCACAACAACAAACAAATGGGTTTTTGTCACGAATGTGTTTCGGCCCCAAAAAAGGCACGTTACTTACACCATTTGTTTGGAACATCTCAGGCCAAGAAACAATTTGTTTTTCTTAATTAGCCTAATTTATTTCAACATGCAAATTATATAAATACTATGCACTAGGGTAAACAAACAAGTTCCCTGCAAACTATGAAATGGAAATGACCCATTTCATCTGAATCTGAGAGATAAAGCATAAACGGTATGTATAACTGGCCAAGTACTAAACCTCAAACATGTAAATTAGCTAATTAATATGCACAGGTGTAAACAAACTAGATCAAACCACCAAATGGAACCTACACGTCTTTCAATCAAAGTAGTATGGTGGTATATAAAAAATGTAAAACTCTAATATTCAAATAAGCCAATTAATATGCACAGAATGAAAAGTAAATATAAACATGGGATCACCCTGTGTAATGAATTTAAATAGTTCTTTTAAATGCTCAACTTAAAGGTACAAGAAAATTAAACCTGCTTAAGAAAAAAATATTTGTCGCATTCTTCCCTTTCAATATAAGAAATCCATTTCCTATAACAAACAGCCATAGTTAATGGTAAATACTAGCACATTTTACCCAAGCAGAAACAGCCAATTTTCTAATATAAATTTTTCAAAACAGTTAACAGTTATCAAAAAATATAAAACCGTCGGATTTTGCTTAAATGTACCAGTAAATGAAGAGTGGTATATTTCAATAATAACAAAAATCTTTACATGCTTTTGTGTAAACATAGTTATGCAAATTAATCAGGTCAATTTAAGGTCAAAGGTAATGCAACATGAAGTACATAAGAAACGTATCACAAACATTGGCGATGTACTTTTCATATATTTCATTGAAACTCCTTGTACATACGTAAATCATGAATTTTTTGAAAAGTTTAAAAACTCTTGAAATCTTGACAGCGTCCTGTGTCTGGCAGTCTTGGACCTTCATACCCATAATGCACCAGAGAAAACAGGATATGACATCACAAGGTAGAATTTTAATATTTCATCACATTGTAAATTGCTTTAATCTTGCAAGAGACAAATTTTCCTGAATTTTTTTTATTTCTGGGAAAACTACGAACTTTTGGCGCAGTAACAGACAATATTTTGCTTAAATTATGAAAATGTTGTGAAAATTTATAGCGAGAAATGGTTAAATTATGAAAATGTTGTGAAAATTTATAGCGAGAAACGGTTTACAACATTTGTCATCATCTTCCATATTCTATATATATTATTTACAGCACCAAGTCAGCTTAATTCATATAATTTTATTGTACTCTCTTCACGTGAAAATGGAAGTCGGCTGGTTAAATGTCTGCAGCTTTTTAACATGATTGTACATCTTTAATGCTGGTCCCAGCTTCAATGAAAGCCCTGTTAATACATCACTTCTTTTCAGCAATAACAATGATTTGCCATCAATCTCCTGTGAAATATAAAAAAAAAAAATTATTTTCAAAGATTCAGTTGTGGGAAAAGTAAGATATGATTTGATTTGATTTATTTCACCAGAAAATATACAACAGAAAACAAACAATGTGAGAATGAAAAAAAAAAAAAACAAGTCATTGTCAATGACACGTCCCCGTTCCGTTCATATTTGAGTGGCATATACATTCAAAGCAGATCATGACCGAAATGCACCTGCATATGTACAACACATTGTACTAAATCTGAACAAAATCCATGCATGCATGACTGAGATCCGGTTCTGGAATTGTGAAAATACGTGATTTTAATGCATTTTCGGCCTTAAAATGGCCATCATTCAGCTATTGCTAAGCGGATCATGAAACAAATGCACATATCTATTTGTGACATGATGCACCATGTGTGTGTGAAGTTTGAACTTGATAAATCCAGACATGTCTTGATACGGATCCAGAACTGAATTCTTTAGAAAATGGCCGCC